TCCTGCATAATCCTTTAAGTAAAAGTAAAAGGAATGGAAAAGGTTATATGTCATGTAAAAGTAATTATGGATTCAGATGTTCATTTTAGGTTTAGGGTCAAATACTACCTTTCCAGAAATAGATGTAAAGTCCATGGAAAATTCCAGCTAATATAGCTTCTCTTTTAAAATCAGGTGGACAAACCTGGTCAAACCCTACACCAAAGGATAAATGGACACAAATCTGAGATCAGGAATCACAAGACTCAGAGACCTGTAGGAGAACATTTCAACTTTCCAGGACATTTAATGGGTGACCTCAACGCAGCTGTTTTATTGCAAAGGAACTTCAAGAACAGAGTAGAAAGGAAAATTGCTGAGTTACAAGTTATTACAACACTCAGAACAATGGAACCCCAGGACTTAACAGGGATATTGTCTCTTATCTCGCTACATATGCTAACGTTATTCAGTCCTTACATCTGTATTCTCACTAATCCCCCAGAAGGGCTGTACATTCTTTTTATTTTATTTCTTATTTGGAATAGATTGGAATGTATTTCCCTGGTCTGGGGACAGAGGAGATAGCACAGCCAATTACACCACCTCAAAGAAGAGGATGCTGTGCTGTTGCCTCCACACTTGAGCAGAGATGGATGGAGGGTAATAGCAGGGGTCTCCGTTAATTACTGTCAGAATTCCACAATTAAGAGTATATTTGCCCATTAGCCTCTGATTTTGATATATTTCCTTCACTATGTTTCCCCATGGAATTAAACACAAATAGTGACCATATAAACTAAGCTTGTCATTCCAGTTTGGTCCTTGCATCTGCTAAACACCTTCATTATGCTGTATGCAAATTTCTTGCTCACCCTCTACCTATATATATATATGGACTGGTAACTTTCATTTCAGTGTATCTGAAGAAGTGGACGTTCACATGAAAGCTTATACCTTGAATAAAACTTTGTTGGTCTTAAAGGTGCCACTGGACTCAAACGTTGTTTTACTGCTTCAGACCAGCATGGCTACCCATTTGAATCTGTCTGCTTTGACTAGGATCTTCCCAGAGAAATCATGGCAAAAGAGGCTTGTAGAAGATTGTACCAACAACAGGGGAAGGACAATGTTGGCACGATTAGGGAACAATACCATGTGGATGGTTCAAAACAGCTTGCTCCTCTTTGGTCGTAAAACTGGATCAAAAGCTCTGGTGTGGAAACTGCCATAGAGATAATTGCTCCTCCGGGGTAGGAACCGAAATGCAAACATTAACGTTCTATGTCACAATAAGTTCTTGACTATTGTGATTCACTGGATATTTCAGATCATAGCACCTTTTCAGGGCTTGAGGTAAATTGTTTCAAGGATTGTCTAGGTTTGATCCTTTTGAAATGGATCCATACGATTCAAAATGGAAATCTGATGACTTGGATCTTCAGAAAAAACAAACATCTCTGTTTAAAAGGGCAGGTGAGAATCACATTACCTTTCATACAATTAGGGTTTGCCCAGAAAATTTCCTAAATTCTTCTTCTATCGGAAGTACAGCTATCTAAGTCAGTCATGTAGTTGATTACTAGCTGAACACATCTCTAAACTACTACTACTACTACTACTACTACTACTACTACTACTGAGGTGATACTGGTTCCCTGTTAAACATGGACTATTGTCTTCCTTCCATGAATCAGAGTAAACTCAAAGCTATCACACTGAAACTTTGGTCCCGATCAGACGGGTTTTTAGATTTAAAGGACATGACCAGACAGCAACATCTTGGAAATGTGCCTGTTCTGTGAGCATCCCGTTTTGCCGCGCTTCGGAGCCGTACTTAAAAGATACTAGTTAAAATTTGGAGTTTTCGCTTCCCGATGGGCCAATTGTGGACTTTCCCTTGTCTGATAATTCCAGCGCGCAATCCTCCTGTTGGGATGGTCTGACGTCAAACCATCCCGAGCGGGTGCAATTTAAAAAAATTCTTAGTGATATGCACATAAACGTGTAAACGCGCGACAGCCGCAGAGCTCCACTCAAATGTCCCGGACAATTTCATATTTCTAAACAGCCCGTGAATTTTATGAACTGCATTAATTAAAAAGGTACCTAAAGAGAGGTACCACTGGCGGTGCTTTAACCATTCAACTTCACGCATGTGCGGAAAAATAAGTACACGTTGAGACACGGATGCGCATGCGCAAACAGATTTTTTTTTTTTAAAAAAAAAACTGACCGCGTGGCTCCTTCAGGTGGATGCCATCTAGACAATCCACCGCGGAGTACGCGCACAGTAAGGGAAGCTGTCTGGTCCTGCAATGCTGAATAAAAAAAATCAGGATCAAATTAGAGCTGGGCCAATTGCGGTATTAACTGCCCGTCTGAACGTACCCTCAGGCTGTTAACTAGATGTTATGAGGTCATTTGGTTTTGTATGCTTATCAAGACTGTAATTGACGCAAAGAAGCTTTGTCCTTTAACATGGCATTTAACCAGGCCTGTAGCTGTGGTGGGGCATTTTGGGGCTCCGCCCCTTCAAATGTGAGGCATGCCCCACAACAGCTGCTGCCCCTCTCCCCCTCCTATGACATTAAAAGGACCCTCTAGCTGATCAGGAGCACGTGGCCTGTCGATCAGCTGGAGTGCCCTTTAAATCTTGCAGTAAGGGAGTGAGGGGAACAGCCGCATACCTTCCCTGAACTCCAAGTGGCGATTTCTTTAAATGGTGTTTTTCAAGCGGGGGCTGCCCATGCCTATACTCCAAGTGGCGAAATCGCCATTTGGAATTCAGGGAAGGCGTGTGGCCGCCCCTCTCCCTCCCTCTCCCCTGCTGCCCCACAAAATTCCCCCATGCCCCACCAACCCAAAATTTCTGGCTATAGGGCTGTATTTAACAACTCATCACAGGCCAGTTTAACATATTCATCTCACAGTCATTTTGGAAAGAAAGACCCATTGGATTATAGAAAGTATCACATGTAATTAGTTGTTGTAGATTTTCCGGGCTGTATGGCTGTGGTCTTGGCATTTTAGGACCTCTCTGTGTCAAGGTCACTCCATCTTTCTGTGTTATACCTCTGAGGATGCCAGTTACAGTTGCTGGCGAAATGTCAGGTCCTACAAAGCCAAGACCACGGGCTAATCTACAACTAAAGAACTCTGGCCGTGAAAGCCTTCGACAACATATCAAATGTAACTCTAGAACAGCATGCCACATCCTTAGAGGGAGGGACTGTGGCCCAGTAGTAGAGCAAGTGCTTGTCTTGCAGAAGGTCCCAGGTTCAATCCCCAGCATTTCCAGTTAAAAGTGATAGGATGTGAAAGGGATGTGATGTGAAAGACCCTTGCCTGAGACCTGGAGAGCTGCTGCCAGTCAGCAGGCAATAGTGACCTTGATGGACCAAAGGTCTGACTCAATATAAGGTAGTTTCCTGTGTTTTCTGTGTCCAGTATAGTAAGAATTATACTTGCCAACACCCACAAAAATTAAATACATAAAGTTATTTAACTGTGTATTTCCCACCCTTTCCCCAAGAAGCTCACGGTAGCATACATGGTTATCGCTTTGTCCCTTTTATCTGCATAACAACACTGTGAGAGGCAGGTTAGGCTGAGGGAGAGCGATTTGCCCAAAGTCACTAAAGGAGCTTTAAGGCAATGTATGTGTGTATGTTTAACACAAGTATCTCCATCTGCAGCCCAACTCTCTAACTACACTACACCAAACTGCCTCATTTATTACTTCACAGTGTCTACTGAAAATCCAATGCATTTCTATAGTCAGTTGGAAAGAACCAATAGCAATAATTAGCTATTCTGTTCTTTTTAGTATATTGCATAATTAGATCCTAAACATCTGAGATCCAGTGGGCTGCAGCAGATAATGAGCTGGATTAGGCAGACCTGAGTTCAAGTCCTTGCTCAGCAACGACACTCAGTGGGTGAGCTTGGGCTAGTGGCTTTCAGTGAGCCTGACCCACTTGCCAAAGAAATCAGAAAACGGGAGAGGGGTAGGGCTGCCAACAGAAGTGGAAAGAATTGTCCTGTCTCTTTAATAAGAGGCTTCTGGTCGCATGCATTTTATGTCTGTGTGGAAACGGGCAGTTGAAGCTTTTCACGGCGTTAAGCCAAACCACTACACCCGGCTCTTCCCTGCCCCGACACAAGGAGAAAAACGGCGATGAAGGGAACCAAGGAGCGAAACGCTGTGGGTCGGAGATGAGTGAAGCACCGCTGGTTCAACTGTATTTGAACATGGTGTAGAAGGGGTGAGAGCATGTCATATATAAATAAATAGTATCAGAGAAGCGCCAAAGCCGGCAGCCGGTTGCGAGCGATTTTTCCTCCCGGCAAGAGCCTTGTGCTGCGGTGATATATCATCCAACCAGTGTTCCCTTTAAGCTGAGTCAGTGTGAGCTAGTTCACAGTTTTTAAGCCTGCAGCTCACACGTTTTTGTCTTAGCTCAGGAAGGGATGGCTCCGGAGCAAACTAACGTATGCAGTAGCCCAATCGCTCACTCACAACTCTAATGCCAGTAGCTCACAAAGTACGATTTTTGCTCCCAAGACTCCACAGCTTAGAGGGAGCACTGCATCCAACTGTGCTGCAAGAGGCGCATTGTCGCGAAAACAGAGTGGTTCGCTTTAAGAACAAGCAGCCTAATTCCCGCACAGGCTAGAGCGGGAAACAGCAGGTACAAGGCGGCCCTCTAGACTTAGACTATAGCTCTGTTTATCTGGACGGCGCCCCCCACTACGTCTTCGCCTCGCTGGGCGCTTCGCTTTCGCCCCCCACCCCCAAGGAGAAGAAGCTCCGCCGCGCTCCTCTCCGGCCTCCCGCCTCCAAATGGGCGGCCTCGTGGCGTCATTGGTCCGCGCTGCTTCCTTCTGCGCTTGTCTTCCATGCGGTTGAACTTTCACCTTTCCGCGTCTTCAAGGCTGTGGTCAGCTCCTCGCTTCTTGCTCCCCCTTTGGTCCCCTCCATGGTGTGGGTCAGCCGAATCCTTCTCAGGAAGGTCAGTGGGTCCTCAGCCTCCTCATGCGGCATCGGAATGGGAAGTTTCTGCTCTCGGTGCAAGGAGTGTGTTGCATGAAGGAGCCGCTCTAAGCAAATCTGCTGAGAAGTACTGCCCATTTATTCAACGGGACCTACTCCCAAGAAAATGTACTTAAGTTTGTAACCTCGGGGGAATGTGGACGATGTTGGTTAAGGGACATTTTCTCCCTCTTTGTCTCAACAGGGGAATGCCTGGGTTTATGAATAATATAGACTTAGGTGGGTCAATTAATCTGAAGCAGCAGAACAAAGTTTGAGTCCAGTGGCACCTTTCAGACCAACGAGGTTTTATCCAAGGTACCTTGAATAAAACTTTTGTGGGTTTAGAGGCGCCACTGGACTCAAACTTTGTTCTGGTTTTATGAATGTTTACTCGGAAACGTGTGCTGATTCCAGTGAGACTGAGCATCATGTAAGTGTGCATAGGATTCCAGTCCTACCATGCAGTCCTTAATCACTTTTCTGAGAGTAAGCCCCAATAGGTAGACCTGAGTAGACCTGCTTAGGATGCCATTGCTAAGTCGCTTTTTCACCGGCTATTTCAGCCTTGTCTTATCTGTTCAATACTTTTGTGTTTAAGCCAGGTGTCTGATTTGTCTAGCTGTTAAATTATTATTTATATCCTTCCTGCATTTCTCCCTAATAGAGACCCAAAGCAGCTTACATCATTCTCCTCTCCTCCATTTTATCCTCACAGCAATCCTGTGAGACAGGTTAGGCTGACATTGGCCCCGGTCTCATGGGCTGGATATCGCGGGGGGGGGGAGGCGTAGCTAATTGCCCCGGCATTTGATCCGCGATTACGCACACCACGGGTCCTTCCCTCGACGCCGGCGGGTAAACGAGGGTCCGGAGGGGAATGCCGCACGCCGGCGCGATCACACCACGGGCGTCTGGAGGCAGCCTGTGGCAAACGTTTACTAGTACCTTGGAGGTACTAGTTTTTTAATGCGCATCGTCGGTGGGAAGCCACAGGTTAGCCATGGGAGCACTGTGCTTCCCAGATGTTGCGGTGTGATCGCGTCCGGAAAATCCGCCTATCATCCGTCTCTTTAGAGCAAATGCTCCGTGTGAACGGGGCCATTATATGACTGGCCCAAGGCCACTCAGCAAATTTCCATGGCAGAGTGTGGATCTTACCCTGGATTTCCCAGATCCTAGTATGACCCTGTAATCACTCCATTGCATTGGCTCTCTGAAGACTTACTTACCATTCTGTCTCCACACAGTGTGAACACAGAATGGTTGGCAGCAGTAAATGCAACTAATTTTAAAACTTCAGCAGCAGAAAAACAATATAGTAATTGGCTACTATAAATTAAAAACTTTTAAACAGCCACCATACACAACCTATGAGAGACAGAAATGAGTGGTGCAGCCCACTCCTCCAGTGGGAGCCAGTTCCATAGCTTCAGAGCTATCCCTGAAAAAGCCCCATTATAATCTTCTAAACAGGGGGATGGAAAGTGCTGGCAGGAAGGTTATATAGGGAGCAGTGTTTCCCTCCAAGCTGAGTTAGTGTGAGTTAGCTCACAGTTTTTTAGCCTCTGGCTCACACATTTTTGTCTTGGCTCAGGAAGGATGACTCCAGAGAAAACTAATTTATGCAGTAGCCAAATCATTCACTCACAATTTTAATGCCAGTAGCTCACAAAGTCACAAGACTCCACAGCTTAGAGGGAGCATTAATAGGGAGAGGTGATTCTTCAATAATATGGGCTGCGTAAGACTTTAGAAGTTAAAACCAGCACCTTAGACTGAACTTGGAAACAGGCAGCGAATGCAGCAGCTCTAGGACCAATGTAATATGCTGTAGGTGTTGGGTCCTAGTCAAAAGCCTGTCTGAAGTTTCCAGGTTGTCAAATACCCAGAAGTGGACTAACCCTTTATTACATTTCAGCTATGAGCCAGTGTGGTGTGAGGTTAGACTTGGTTTGAACATGACTGTGGGTTCAAATCCTGGCCATAAAGAATGGCCTTGTACCTGTTGCTCTCACTCAGCCAAATTCTCTCCAGTGCTTTTTCCGCAGCTGCTGAATGCTCAGAGGAAAGAAAGCAGAATGCAGCAGGTCTTTCTGGAATTTCCATATAAGATGGCAGCAGAGCATTGGCACCTTGAACAGAGTGTTGATATGGAACTTCTATTGCTCATTTGCTACTTTTAAAATGATAAGTAGTTTGGAGTACTTGCAAAACTTACCTTGTTTGATCTAGGAACTCAGTTTATTGTAATCCACTTGATCTTGCTACAGTTTTATTATTTGAGAATTTGTGAATGGTTTACGTTTTTGAAGCTATATAGACAATCTTGAGCAGCAGTCAAGGAAGGTGTAAGTGTTAATAGTGGTGGTCTGGAGGCCCTTCCAGGCAATTTTTGTTTTTGTTTTTCTTTTACTCAGTAACCCCACTCCTGCTCTTTAGTAACCACATACAATCTGGACAGATTGGGTAGGGTCCAGACTGAATTTCCCACTAATGAGAGGAGATTAATAATTTCCACCCATTCCCCCTTCCTTCTGCAGACCCCTGATCTGCATCTCATGCCATTCCTGGAGGCTCCCTGTTCCCTAGGGAGAAGCATTTCAGAGGGCTGTGGGGAGGCAGGAAAGTACTGTTCAGAAATGCCTTCTGTTAGCAGAGGTTTTGTGTGGCTCCAACCCTTAAATATTACATTGCATTGGACCTTTGTATTTACTCCCATATAAATGAGTGGCTGCATTTATTAATGTGGAGAAAAGTGAAGTACTATCCTTGGCAAGAACACTGCAGCAAGGGCAGCACCTGCGCTCCATCCTGACAGCTGACACCCTGGCTTGACTGACAGGGCTCCTGGTGGGCTTTACATCCCCGATATGGTCCTTGCAATAAACAAGCCCACCTTCTACAGATTCCTCACCCATCAGAATGACAGATAATTTTCTTATAAATGTGAAACACCAGTATTAAATGTGGTGTTCTTTTGACAGTATGGCAGATTTATGGATGACCTAAGGATCTATGTGAAAGGAGGATCTGGTGGAATGGGCCATCCTCGATTAGGTGGAGAGGGAGGATGTGGTGGTGATGTGTGGCTGGTAGCCCAAGAAAAACTTACTTTGAAGAGAATGAAAAGTCAGAATCCTGAGAAACGGTTTCTGGCAGGACCAGGGGACAACAGCAAGTGAGTACTTTTTGTTGACTGGGGCGAAAAGTGGTTTACCTCTTCCTATTCCGGAAAACAATATTTGGACTTCCCCCCCTCTCTTTTACCCCCCAAAGGATTGTTGCTCTGAAAGGTGCAAAAGGGAAAGATTGTGAAGTAAACGTGCCTTTCGGAATATCAGTCGTTACGGATGGTGGGAAATTGTTAGGTATGTATCTTTGATTTTTAAAGTTTATATTATTATAATAAACTAGTGTGATGGCTGTATGCCTTTTGGTGTATCTCTTCTCCTTATATGCTGCCATTGGTTTTTAGGAGGAGGTTGTTAACTGAGAACTAAGATCCCAGGAAAAACCCTGGATCATGTCCTGCATCCTGTTTTTTACAGTGGCCAAACAGATGCTTCTAGGAAGCCCACATATCTTTTCCTACTATTATCCCTCCTCCAGCAACTGATATGCAGAGGTTTCCTGCTTCTGGACACATCAGTTATCATGGCTAATGGCTGTTAATAAATAACCCTCCATGAATTTGTCTAGATATAAAGCCATCCAAGCAAGTAGGCAGCACAACATCTTGTGTCAGTGAATTCCATAAGTTAACAAAGAGTTGCATGAAGAAAGTAGCTCCTATTGAATGCCCAGAGAATAATATCTGTTGATTAACAGATGATAACTTTGACTTGACTGATGCATGTTCACCTGTAATCTCTGTAGCCTGTCCTGGACATTTTCTTACAAGTAAGTCCATTGTATATAATAAGGCTTACTCATTAGTACCTTGCACATAGAATGGCAGCCGTATCAGTAATGGACTATTTATTTTAATCATTTCTATCCTATCTCCACCAAAGATGCTCAAGATGGCTTACAGCCAATTAGTATGAACAATTTAAAATATTAAAATAGCAGTACAATAGATCTTGCTCTAAAATAGCAGGAATAATAGCATCTTCTTTAGCAGTTTAACAGAATAATAGCTGCAGCAAAATAAAATCTAAAATAAACCACAATATAATTAAAAACTGAAATTAATTGCATTAAAATAATTAGTAGCAATGATTTGAAATAAATGAATATCAGATGGAAAGTTAAAGATGCAAGGATTCCAAAAAGGTGCAGGAGTATGAAAAACGTAACAGCGTCAATGAACAAACCACCATTTAGTTATACAAATCATTCCAGAACTTTGAAGAAAACAATTTGTAACATCTTAGTTACCAAGAATGTAAATTTCTTGTCAGTGGTGTTCCCAAGCAACATGAAAATTCAGCAGGTAGAGGAAATATCTCTTAACTTGAAGGAAATGTTTGCTGAAGATGTTTGTGCAAAGCCAATATAATTTGCAAACTCTTGTGCAATCTTTTTAGGTGAACTTAACAAACCAGGAGAGAGATTATTGGTGGCACGTGGGGGTGCTGGTGGCTCGCCGGTTACAAATTTCTTGCCCTCCAGAGGTCAAGCATACAGCATTCATCTTGATTTGAAACTTATAGCTGATGTTGGCTTAGTTGGGTAAGTTTTTGATCCCAGTCCTGTTAAAGTGATTCTTTGTATACTCTTCCATTCTACTTCAAGCAAACTTAAGTTTGTTTATTTATTTAGGATATTTCTGTGCCACCTCTTCGGAGCCCTGATAATTAAAATAACTGCAATATAAAAAAAAGTATTAAGAACAAAGCATTGGACAGAAACAGTATAAAATCTTTCTGTAAAACAGAAGCAGACCATAAAAAGGTAGATAAAATAAAAAAACCTATGAAAAACTTGGGTAAGAGATGTATTTTGGCCTTGTGCCTAAAAGATAGTAAAGTACGTGGCAGGTGAGCCTCAAGGGGCAGGGTGTTTCACAGGCAAGGTGCCACCACAGGAAATGCCCTGTCCCTAATCGCCACCTGCCTCCCTTCTGAAGGGAGGGCACAGAGAACAGGGCTTCAGAGGCAGATCTTACCTGGTGGCCTGGATAGTATGAGTGGAGATGGTCCTTCAGGTACTTTGGTCCCAAGCTGCTTATGGGTAAGAACCAGCACTCTGAATTGTGCATGGAAACAGATGGGTAACAAGTGCAGGGGTGATACGATCCCTGTAACCAACACCTGACAGTAGCCTAGCTGACATATTTTGGACCAACTGAAGTTTCTGAATCGTTTTCAAAGGCAGCCCCACATGGAGTGCATTACAGTAATCTAACTTGCATGTGATCAGAATGTGGACCACTACGGCCAGATTATGCTTTTCAAGGAACTGCTGCAGATGGTAAACCTGCCAGAGCTGAACAGAGGTACTATGTGCCATGATGGTGACCTGAGCCTCCACCCTGAGGCCAAGATCCAGTAGAACCCCCAGGCTACAAACCTGTTCCTTCCCCCCTTCCAGGATCGGCTGGCTTCACAGTCCCTGAGCAGCTTCTCCACTGACCAGGTCGTTGGCCCTCATCCATCTCATTACCTTCTCGAGGCGCTTATCGTTTAGGGAACGTTCTCCCCACAGTCAGTTCTGCTGACATTAGTGAGCCCTAGCTCTTATTCCACAGCTTCAGTGGTCAGAAAGACAAGGATATGAGAGACCTGGGTTCAAATATCTGCACAATAAAACTTGCTGGACAACCCTGGGCCAGTCGCATGCAACTCAGCCTAACCTACCATGTATGCTTCTGTGAGCTGAATAAACATGTACTAGATAGATTTAGAATCAACAAAGTTCTTTCCTAAGTTTCTCTTTCTGACCAAACCTGTGAATCTGAACCCTTGTTCGGACTTTTTGGTACACAAAGCATTTGTGCTGAAATGAAAAAGAGAGATGTTCAAAACAGGGTAATGGAAGTGTTTTAGTTTTGTAAATGACTTCCCTCACTTAATTGTAGATTAGATTTTAGCTTTTCCTTTGGGATGGAGCAATTTCAAGTGAGTCATGGAACTCATTTAATGTCTTTAGCTAGATTGTTTAGTCGTGCTCTGAAAGCTTATGCTTTGATCTCAATATGAGTTTGCTTTTGTACTTCAGCATGTATGTAAGTGCTTTGTCATTAGACCTTACACAGACCAAAAAATCATATTGTTTATAGAAGGGTGGGGAGAACAGAGACAACATCAGATTGAGATGTATATAGAAGGATACAGTTTGATCTTCAAAGAAAGTACATTTAGCTCTGATGGAACTAAAATTCTTCCTGAAGAAGCAGAGTAACACTTTTGAAATGCTGCTCGTAGGTTTTCCTTACTACAATGATATTTCTGGTCCCCCTCCCAAAAGCCTCTAGTTCATTATCAAGTAATTCATTATCTTCATTACATCACATGCAAATGTGCTTCCTATTCACTGAAGTTTTTTAGCTGTTCATGTGACTTATATTCAGCAAGAGTTTGATTAAAATGTAGTTGCTCTTTTCTACACAATATTTGGCTACTTTATTAGTGATCCAAGGCTCATGGCCCAAGAGGAGAAAGAAAATATATAATTCCTCTGATCTACCTGGAATCTTTTTGGAGAATAGGAGTAATGAAATTTCATCACTCTCCCATATTGGATAGGGAATTGCAGGACAACATACTCTGGGGATATTTTGCTTGTTCGTGTGGAAAAAATAAATAAATTCATGCAGAAATAATGTTTGTTTTTGGTGTTGCACTAACAGATAGGTGACTACCTTCTTTCACTCACTTCCTGCATTCTATAGGAACTAACAGAACCATCTTCTTCCTTTTATTTGAGCATTCATTTGAGTAACCTAATTTTGCTAGATAATGGCTTTATGGTTCTGCATACAAAATACCGATGAGGCATTACGTTGACAATTCCTACTTTTTTCTTCTTCCAGATTTCCAAATGCAGGAAAGTCGTCTTTGCTAAAAAGTATTTCCCATGCTACCCCTCAGATTGCAGATTATGCCTGTAAGCAAGAGATTGATTTCCATTTGTTTGATTGGCACTCTGATCTCAAAGACTCATAGATCAGTGCCTGCATTATACAGCTGAAGCACTCTGAATGCAAGGAGTCCTGCCTTCTTCCTCCCTGCCCCACCGCCTGTTGGAAAGCCGCGGGAACAAGCACTGAGACATTTGTGGCCATAGGAAGTTATGCTCAGCTATCCCGTAGCCATCCCTTTTAATGAGTAGCTTGAAATGGGGAGGGGCTGTGGCTCAGTGGGAGGGTATTTGCTTTGCATGCAGAAGGTCCCAGGTCCAGTCCCTGGCATCTCCAGTTAAAAGGATCGGTTAAAAAGTGATGTGAAAGTCCTCAGCCTGAGATTGTGGAGCTCAACTGCCAGCTAGAGCCGACAGTACTGACTTTGATAGAAGTCTGAAAGGATGAGAGTTGTCCATCTTGAGAGCCAGTTTAGTGTAGTGGTTAGGAGCGCGGACTCTAATCTGGGAGAACTGGGTTTGATTCCCTAAACCTCTGCATGTAGCTGCTGGTATGATCTTGGGTCCACCACAAGTTCTTTCAGAGCTGTTCTCTCAAGGGCAGTTCTCAAGAGAGCTCTCAGTCCCACCTACCTCACAGGGTGTTTGTTGTAGGGAGGAGAAGGAAAAGGGGTTGTAAGCCACTCTGAGACTCCTTTGGGCAATGAAAGATGGGGATAAGTCCGATCTATCTTCCCAAATTTGTTGTTCTCCTTGGCTATTTGTTGTTTGTTCAGGGTGCCCCCTTTCAACAAATTTTGCACTTCTAGGGGACACAGATCTTGTATCAAGATGCCAGGTGTGGAGCTATATCACTCTGTTTCCTTGCCTGGAGAACCAAAAGTGCAAAATTTGGTTGCTGGTGGTTTGTTGAGGTGGGCAACTGATGTTTCTGGGGAGGGGATTGTCTTGGGGTTTCCAGTGAGTACCAGTCTGTTTAATGTATGCTTACCTGTTTTGTTGATGAAATGGGTGCTGTCATTTCGGAGCAAGCAGAGGATTCTGATGAAGCTTCAGTTCCCCGCCCCCCCTACTCCAGTTTTACCCATGTTTGCTTCTTGAACTACTGGTATTGTTTAGCGCTGGTGCAATGGTTATTGTCAGCGATTATAAATCCATTGTGCTTATTCTCCCTCTGTAAGGGATTTACTAGCAGCTTTATTCCCACCCAGTAGAGGTAACTAAAGGATAGGACTTCACTGAAAGACAGAATATGAATATTGTGAACTACAATTTGCTGTTAAATAACAGCAGAACTGTGGCTTGTGCCTTTCCCTTCGCAGGCTTTGCGCTCTGTGTGAACAGATCTTTATAGTGTCGCTTCATGTCCAAAGCACAGGAGGTTGCTTCTGAGAAAGCAGTGCTTCTGTGTTGCTGTGTCCTAGCCCTCTTTACAGCATAAATAAGGGGTTGGGGATTATCAAAAAGAAACATTTTTCTAAGACATCTTTCAACTTTTTTCTTCTTCCTACAGTCACAACGATAAATCCTGAACTGGGGACAGTTATGTATTCTGATCACAAGCAGGTTGGTTCCAAAAAGTAAGGCTGTGTGGTGTATAAACCTCCTTTAAGTTGCATTTTGAGATCCCAGGTATTTATAAAACTGGTGTCAGGGTTTGCATAAGAGCTGTCCGCTCAGTCACTTCCAGGAAGCAGCAGTAACTTGTCTCATGCCTATTGTCCTTTCCGTCCCAATATGCTTTCTTCCAAGTAAATAAATACCCAGAAGTGGCAGGCTAAAGAAGCATATACTGATAGTAGTATTTTCCTGTTCCTTAATAATTAGATTTCAAACTAGTCCTTCCTAACTGGTCCCAAGTTTGCAAATAACACTAAGCTCTGGTCTCAGGAGGCCTCAAGGAGAATTCCACTTCCAAATAAAGGGAGTCTTTTTCCTTGAGGAGGGAGTCAGCAATTGCCCAACCTTGGGGAAATTTTGGCTGCAATCATACACACAATTAGACCCGACATAGGTGAATGCTGGGCAAATTTAAAGGGCGCAATCAGACAATATCATCTGGGAAGTGCCCCGCAGCTGTCGGCAACCCATTCTATTCCACCACAGAAGCGGAGTTAAAAGACACCAGGGAAAATCCGGTAGTAAACGGGTTGTGACATACCACGGACGGACTTTCCCCTATCTGATCACTCCAGCGTGCTCTCATGCCGTCAGGATGATCTGATGAGGCCATCCCGACTCCGTGCCGTTGTTTTTTCCCTTCGAAGTATGTGCATCATCGCAAACTCCGTAGGGAGCCCTCAGTGCGGTTCATCGATGTCTCATTTAAATGCATGGGAAACAAACGGCACAACCCCCCCCCCCCCGACCCACCTGCGGTCG